GCTCGGCAACCTGATATATGAATTAATGATATAAAAACAGACTCGACTTCGCGTCCCGGTGCCGAGGGAGTCTTTTAAATCTCCGCTCACACCCCCTGGCCCGGGAAAATCCCGTATAGCCTTAACGGCGAGGAAGGGAAGGACACAAAAAATAATTTAAAAAAAAAATAAGTTGACAGGGGCAAATACATTTTATTATAGAAGAAAAAAAAAAGTTTCAGAATAAACTAAAATATTTCGGAATAGGAATTGTCTCATTTTTTTAAGTATCTCAGCTTCAAATACTTGCTGAAACCCATAATAACACATCGCTAATCAGAAATGAAATTGCTTTTTTTTTTTTTTTTTTAATTTCTTTATTGAGTATTATAACAATCTGTCTGTTGGACATTGGTTATAGTGAGGTAGGATGACATTCACACCATATGTACAAAAAAATAAAATAAATAGAACAAAATAATAATCAAAAGTATATACAATAGACAATAAAATAAAATAACCTAAAAAATAAGAAAATTAAAACTAAGGAAAGAAAAAAAAACACATGCATACCTATATACAATCAGACGAGGGAACTCCAGGAGAACCCTGCGCTACTCTCCCAACCGCGTCACTGGTACTAAAGCCAGCGGAGATTGGTCGAGAGCACTTTAGCCACATACACACATGTCTTGAGTGAAGTATCTGGCCATTGCCAGAACTCCAATTTATATAATCTACAAAAGGTCGCGAGGCCACTGCCGTTTCAACCTTCTTGGAGGATTATAGGGATGGGAGATGCTTGATAGGGATTGTGCAAGAGGATTTGGGTGGTAAGTAAGGTTCTGGTGAAATTTGGAGAATTTTTCTGGGATAAGGTCTAGGACAAATGGGATGTTAAGGTCATGATGTAGGGTTTTGTTGGATACATAGAAAGGAGCATCGACTATTGTTCGAAGGACTTTAGACTGGAAGGATTGGATGCGCTTGATGTTAGAAAGTTTTGCTGATCCCCACAGTTCTAGTCCGTAAGTCCAAATAGGTTTCAGTATTGTCTTGTAGATCAGTAGCTTGTTTTCAATGGAAAGTTTAGATTTTCTGCTTAGTAGTCGGTATAGTTGGCCGTATCGTCGGTTGAGTTCTTGTCTTTTGAGTCTAGTATGCGGGTTCCAAGTTAGTCTTCGGTCTAAATGAAAGCCAAGATACCGGACTGTGTCTGAATAAGGAAGCTGGATGGAATTAAAGATTACTGGTGGACAGGAATTGCGTCGGAGTGTAAAGGTAATATGTTGGCATTTAGATTCATTAACTTTAATGCGCCAGTTATTACACCAGTGCTCAATCAAGGTGAGGTGACTTTGGAGATTTAAGGATGCTATTTCGGGATCAGAGTTGGATGATAAGATTGCGGTGTCGTCAGCGAATGTTGCAAGAAAAGTATCGGGATGAACAGGGATGTCAGCAGTAAAGAGGATGTAAAGCACGGGACCCAAGACGCTGCCTTGGGGAACACCGGCTTTAACGGAGTAGATATTGGAAAATTCTGTTCCACAGCGAACTCGAAAGGAGCGGTCAGAGAGATAGGATCGGAGGACTAGGTACAAGGACTGAGGTAATTGGATTTTAAGCTTGGAGAGCAGTCCGGAGTGCCATACCCTGGCCTGTGCAATGTCCAGAAAGGCACCCGAACAGTATTCCTTGTTTTCTAGGGCTGAGGAAATATGATCAACAACTCGGAGTCCTTGTTGAACAGTAGAATGTTGAGAGCGAAAACCAAACTGATGGGAAGGGATATTTTGGGATTCTATAATGGGTAGGATTCGTTTCAAAAGGATCTTTTCAAAAATTTTTGAAAGGATTGGGAGTAGGCTGATTGGTCTATAGGATGTTGAGCTATTGAGAGGTTTTCCTGGTTTTGGGAAAAGGATAATAGTGGAGTGTTTCCATAACAGAGGGAAGTGGGTGGTGCGTAGGATACAATTGTAGATATATGTAAGGAATATGACTGCTTTGGATGGAAGTTGTCGAAGGATTTGAGGTGTAAGGAGATCATGTCCAGGAGTTTTACGGGGGATTAGTTTTTTTAATTGAAATTTTACTTCGGAAGGATGAATAGCTTTAGGGGGCAAGGAAAGTGGGATTGGTGATGTAAGGAGTTCTTCTAGTGTTACGGTGTGGGCGGGATGGGATTCCGGATGTGAAATAAATGTATTGGATAGGTGAATGGCGAACTCCTCAGCTTTATCTTCGTCAGATGCTGCCCAGGAGCCATCACCTCGTCGGAGAGGATGGGAAATGCGGTGAGGATTTAGGATTTTTGTTGTGGTTTTCCAAAGGGAATTGTCGCGAGAAGAGAGGGAGGATAGGTAGGAGTTGAAGGATTGTGATCTGAAGGTGGCTAATTCCAGTTTTAATTGTTTGCAGTAGTAATTATAGGAGCAGCGGTCGGTAGGATGTCGGGTACGTTGCCATAATAATCTGGCACGGCGTTTGGTGCGGATTAGGTTAAGGAGGTGTTGGGGTAGAATGGTCTTTATAGGAATTCTGGAGAAGTCTTTTGGGAAGGAGGCAGTCCAGGCGGCTTGTTGGATTGTGGTAGTAAAGGAATTTACGGCATTATCAAGGTCATCGGGAGTTTTGAGGGATATGTTGAGATCAATATTATCGGAGATTATTTGGCGGAAAAGGTCCCAGTTTACTGGGCCCCTAATGAATGACGGTGGAGAAGGTTTGGGAACAGGTTCAAGTGAAACATTAAGGATTAGAGGACTATGGTCAGAGGAAAGTTCATTTAGACGTGTAATGGAACAATTGAGGGGACTTAAGCCGCTGTGGATAAAGAAATCAAGAAGATCAGGATTATGGTTGGGATCTGTGGGCCAGTAGGTAGGAGAGTTTGGGGAAAGGAGGTGAAAACGTTGGGAATTGAGTGCAGACAGCAGAGTTCGGCCACGAGAATTCGTGGTTCTGGAACCCCATTGTTGGTGCTTGGCATTTAGGTCTGCACCCAAGATGAAGTGATGTCCTAAGGAGTCGAGGAGAGAACTGAATTGGGCATTGGATATGGATCGGTTAGGAGGGCAATACGCTGATGCAAGAGTGACCGGAAAGGAGAAGGTTTTTATCACGATAGCGGTGGACTGTAGGAAATCATGTATTGGTAATGGGAGTACGTGATGGGAGAGGGATTGGTGTACAATTACAGCAGTACCGGCATGTGCTTTTCCGTCAGGGTGGTCAGTACGATATGTCAGGTATTGTGGTATATTGAAGTGCTGTTTAGTGGTTAGTCGAGTTTCAGTAATTAGTGCCACATCAATGTTCTTGTCAAGTAGTAAAGTGGATAGTTCGTCTGTATGATTTCTAACACCATTCGCATTCCAAAGGAGAATGGATATGGGTTTAGGGATGTGAGTCATTTAAGGATTTTTCAAAGGAGGGATGAGGTGAGATACGAGATTCGTGAGGAGTGATATGAGTGGAGTAACAAGGGATTTGAAATCGGTGAGGAAAGATGCTAACAAACTTGTGAGATCTGTTGCATTTGAAGGAGGAGGAATATGAGGAATTTGTTGTTGGTGGTTAGGTATATTAGGATGAAGAGGATTTTGAGGTTGGGTTTGAGGTTGTTGTGGCAGGGCTTGACATTTATCGGTTAAAGTCTTACCTCTAAGTAGTTGGGAGAATGATACATCATTGTTTACAATTCTGGAAGGCTCTCTCTCTCTTCTTGTTCTTAGTGCTTCATCTTGAATCCGGTTTTTCTGGTGTCTGGTTTTGAGATTCTTGTAAATTTGGCAGCCTTTGTAGTTGGCCGGGTGTCCCTCCAAGCATAGGGCACATACTGCTGGATCTTGTATAGGTTTGGTGCACTCTACAGATTTGTGCTGTTCACCGCACTTCACGCAACGCGGCAGGTGGTGGCAATATGTCTTCGTGTGGCCATAGGTCTGACAATTATGGCACTGCACGATGTCTCTCTTGGGATATGGCTTCTCAACTTTCACCATTGTGTAGTATATTCTTGTGATATCATATATTTTTTCGATACCTGGTGATGGCTCCAAGTCCACGAAAAACAATGGTAGTGGGATCCTATTTCGTAATCCTGGCTGCTCCCTGTCCTCCTTCAAAACGTTTGTTACCTGGCGTACATTGAAACCAAGCGTCGTTAGTTCTTCTTTAATAACTTCAGTGGGGGTTGAGGAATGTAAATTTCTTATCACTACTCGTAAAGCTCTTTCCTGCCTCAGCTGGTAAGTGTGAAAATTCGCATTTGTTTCTGATAAGTACTTCACTATTTTTCGGTAGGCTTCTGCAGAATCAGGTGTTATTTTGGTGTCATTGGTCCTGTTAAGGCATGAATAACTGCCAGAGCAGATTTTATTTAGTTGGGTGCAGAACATCTAGAAATTTTTTATATTTTTCACAAATATCGGAGGAGGCTTTGGTTCTCTGGGTATTGCTGCAGACTCCATTACTTCTCTGTCATTTTGAAGCACTTGGTAGGGGTTTGGAGTAAAGAAAGGTGATTCTTCAATCGTTTCTTGTGCAGACGTACCTGGTTGGGGCTGAGGTTCTGGTTCTGAAGTGTTCATTTTGGTCACTGGAAGTATTTCTCGTAGGCAGCGACGAGTCCTTTGTTTGGCTGGTGAGCTAACTCCGTCTGACCGAGACCTCTTGGGCACCTTACTGGCCATCACTTGCTGATCATACCGCATATCATAAGAGAAAAATAAATAAATAAATAAAAAAAAAGATGCCAACAGTAAATATCAACTGCTCTGATATACACTTAACTGTATCACGTGAATAATCAGAGAGATTCCGCTATAAAATTGGTAAAAACTGAGAGAGGAGTTGAGGAGACAACCTTCTCATCAGCTGATCCACTCTGAAATTGCTAAATATTTAAAAAGCTCTCCACTTCTTTGATATCATCCACTCAAAGAAGATATCATCCCCCCTTCCACCGTTATATATAACGCGTTCTAACGCACATTGTTATTGATTCCTCAACTATGGCCATACTCTTCTTGTTGGCTGCCTTCGTGGGCTGTGTAGTGGCTAGGCCTTCCAGCGAAAATGTGACACCAGTAAGTTATCAAAATAATAAACTACTTAATATTGAACAAGGATGTTTTAAAATATTATTTTTTATCTACTTAGCCTTCATAATGTGGAAATGATGTATGGATAAATCGATTGGACATAATACCTCGTACAGCATGTCATGCATACATGAGAGTTATGAGGAGTTGCAATTGGTAAAAATTGGAATTGTTTTGACATGATTGTTGGTCAACTGATATAGCAAATTAGGTGTCTTGTTTCTGTCCAATTATTTGGTAGTCCTCAGTCTGGTCTTGTCTAAGGCTTTATGCACAGAGCTGCCACCTCTGTTGTCGTCTGCTAGAAGTAAATAAGTAGCGAATTCCAGACTGTCGAGAAAGTTAATATGCCTGCCTGTTGAAAAGTCTTTCACAATAGGTTAATATAAGGTCTTATGAAGTAAGTTCGTTTTAGTTTTCTATGTTTGTCTTTCAATATGTGGTCTCAGCAAGCTGTTATGAAACTGTTGGGGCCATTAAGATCGATATATTTGCTAGCATCGGCGCTCCATGAAGTTGGCCGGTTTTAATACGCTTTTATAAATTAATAATTTGTGACGTAGGGATTGTTTTCGTGATGTCAATAGATGCTTTAGTCTGCTGGACTTGGTCTTCACCAATCTGATCTTTTTCTTGTGGCGGAATAGAGTGAGGTGCCTTTTGATGGTAACTCAAGTATACAAAGCTCTAACATAATACAATTGTTATTCTAGTTTTTCTGGAAGGAGAAAATGACAAATTCTTCTGGAGATTAATTGTAATGCTTTGTCATTCCTTTTTGATTTCTTCACAAGCCACCTCTATATTCAATAGAGGTCTCGTTTCGTTTAAGGAGCTTCTATATCATGCACTAATTTCCCTAATTGTTTTACTATTTTCATAGGCATTGCCTACCAAAGCCAAGGTAAAACGTCCTGTTATTCTCGGAGCGACAGGAGTTACGGATTTCGAGCAAATCAGCTTCTTTGAAGGGTATCCTGCTTTCATTCAGTGTATTATATTTGTAAAACATGGAGACATAGGAAATGCCTTAAATTGACATTTCGAAACGATTCTTCTTCATGCCTTATTGTCCATAAGCAAAACTTTCTGGCTAAACAAATCTATGATAATCGGCATGTATTAAATGATGATTTTCTAACAGCCTCGCTATACATTCACAATGGCTGAGCTATGAGGCGACATTTTTAATGTGGCCGTTGTGAGAGGTTGGAGGAGGAATAGACATAGATCAACCAATTTTGCTTTAGGTATTCTAAAACGACATTTTCATAGTACTAAGACTTATAGAACTTACCTTGGGCTTATTGTAAAAATTCATTGAGTTATATTGCTTAAAATTAAATCATTGAATAATTTGATGAATTTTCCAGCACTAAAATCAGTAGATTGTGCACATAGTGTAACTATTTCTTATAAAAGGGTTTGATTCACTTGATGTGAGTTTTGCATTATTAAATATGTTGGATGAAACTCCCCAAAAAATGTTCATATGTTAGTGATTTTTGTTTGAAATAAACCGACGTATATATTGAAATTCAGAACTGTATTATTATATATATTTGTTTATTTAGAAATATTACATTCTGTCACATCAAGGACATTTATAATAGTGCTCAGAGAACACACTCACACTCTATTTACAAAAAAAAATTAATAATACAGAAACTTAATAATAATAAATACAATAAAATAAAATAAAAATAAATACAATAAAATTAAATTAAAATAAATGTAATGCAATAAAATAAATGTATATAAACAAAAGAACTAACCTAATCATACACACTCGGGTTTGAGTGGAGGATCTGGCCATTGCCAAAACTCCAATAGATGCTTATTTACAGAAGGTCTCTGGGCCCCTGCCGCTTCAACCTTCGAGGAGGATTGTAAGGATGGGTGGTGCTGGATAGAGATTGTGCAAGGGGATTTGGATGATAGGTAAGGTTCTGGTGAAACCTGCGCCCTAGGTCGGCACCCCGCGGGCAATTGCCCCGGTTGCCCCATTCTAAGGCCGACAATGATTGGTTGCTTAGATCCTATGACTTGTAAGTGTTGTACTAGGTGGAAACATCTTTTTTCGTCGTTGCAGCAAAACACTTGAAATTTGATTGCCATGAATTAAAATTTTAATATAATACTCGTTTACTAATTAAACGTTATTTTTTTATTTTCAGGTTGAAATTACTCTATACTACGAATCATTATGCCCTGGTTGTCGAATTTTCATTCCAAACCAATTGTTGCCAGCCTTTACGGATTACCGCTCTTTAATATCTAAACTCACATTGGTGCCCTATGGTTGGGTTGCGGTTGTAAGTATTGTAAAGTTGTATTAATTACAATGAACGATGTCGAGCGAAGACTGGATTTTCATGATATAAAAACATGTCAACACGTTTAATAGTATCAGTAATGTAGTATCAGCAAATCATAGACTAGTAATTGATTCCAACGGAGGTCACTCTTTTTCTTTATGATAGAAAGCAATAACTCAAAAACTATTTCACTCTAGTATTTAACTATTATGAGTTTCAAATATTTATTTAAAAAAAAAAAACCCAGCAATTTTCTACATATTTTTTATAAATACAAAGCGCATATATTAGGAGATTTATACATATGCATATATATATATATATATATATATATATATATATATATATATATATATATATACATACATACAGTGGCTCATTGTGAAATTTATACACCCCGTAAAAAAATTGGAAAAATACTTTAATGGTTATAGTAAATAAATAAAACCAGCAACTCTTCAACAGATTTATTTATAATCTTATTTTAAATATGTAGGAACTCAATAAAATTAAAATATTCAATTGTGATTATTTAAAATAAAATAATAATTTTACTAGACACCTAAATAATTTTACCTCGCAGTCAAAATGATACACCACACTTCTTATTAACTTTTAAATACTAGTAATTTATTTCAAAAACGCTTGGATGTCGCATGGCCACACAAACACACACACACATATATGTATATACATACAAATAAGAAAAAACACACACAGGAGTAATTTACGAATTATTATGAAATGCAGAACTCCGTATCTTAATTTAAAATCTCTCTAAAAATGGTTTAAACAAAAAAAAATTGTACTTGTGTTTAAAGTCCGTCCTCACTTGGCGAAAGTTAGCGAACGAATGTCTTGGCGAAAGGTCTAATATTTATATCACTTTAAGTCGTCTAGTGCAAACAGCGAACCCATTCACGAATGGAGTCCATCTAATTAAATTACGAATTATTTAAATGAAAGCTCTAAGCTCGCATAAATTAATTTGTAGTTTGTTACTGAACAGGCTGAGAGTTTCATTAATAAATAAATGATGTAATTATTATGATAAAATTCTGTTTCCTAAAAGTATCAGTATTTTCAGCAAAAATAAATCACAATGAATTATTACGGACCATTTATTTTTTTTATTTTTCCCTTTCATCTGGGATGTTTTGCAATAGATTAATTTATAAAATACGCTTATTATTTATTTTTTAAAAAATGTAGAAAATTCAAAAAGTCAAATTCCACATAGTTTATCAGTTTGTAAAAAAATGATAATTACCTAAATAAAATAGTTTTGTAGTTATCTATTTCTATCCAACACATTTACGAAACAATTTTTAATTTCACATAATTAACTAATCTAACGATCCATGTCATACAATTTTAAACAACATAGATTTGTAATTTTTCAGAGAAAATTAAGTTCTCCTGATATTTTAAAGTTTCTATCCCCTATTTCCTTCCAGTTTCTATCTAGAGTTTCTATCTCTCCCCTCCCTCAGACGATATAAGTCAGTCTCTCCAGAAATGACGTAGGGGAAACTCTAAAATATCAGTACAACTTAGTTTTCTCTGAAAAATTAATACGACACTGAATATTGGAAATTTAATGGAAGACTCAATTTAAGGTAATAATCAATTGTATATAATGAGAAAAGTTACGTACATGAAATGTTTTAAAAAAAGTATAAAAATCTATGGATATTAGAAATTGTATGACATGGATCGTTAGATTAGTTAATTATGTGAAATAAAATTTTTGTTGGTAACTGTTAACGTAAACCAACAAATACATTACAATTATTCCAGACTCGAAAATGAGCCAAGTGATGGTCTAAACGTTACCTTATTATAATAGCTAATAAATAAAATGTTGGCGAATAATGGCCTAAATTATATAGCAAATAAAATCTCAAGACACCAAATCTAGGAATAATGAAAAGAAGAATTTATTATTTTATTGTGTGGTCTGATTTTGTTTTTAATGCGGTTTGGAACGACATCCTGATAAACCCTCACTTATAGAAATAATATAGCTGTTTCATGAGAATCCGGTCTTCAACAAGAGTGGTATTTTGAAACTTTTTGAGAATAGTGTCTTAAGATAAATCTTTGATATTTCAGAAAAATGCAACAAGCCATGATTATGCATGTCAGCATGGCGAGTCCGAATGCGAGGGCAACAGGTTGCACGCCTGCGCCATCAAGTACATCCCAGATCAAGTAACAACATTAGAATACATCTCATGCTTGGACCAACAGGAATCGAATTATCTCACATTTGCGTCTTCTCAATACCCCATTGACAAGGTAAGTTGAAGAAAATAAAGCGAATTAAAGACAAATGTCAACAAAAAAAAATAAAAGCATTTTTAAATAGTAATATATTATCACTTTCTTCATGTGTGGGAAAATGCAATGGTGCGTTTAGACATTTCACAAACTATGTGAAATATAATTATCGAACTTCTCCAATACTGACATTAGCGCTAAGTCCAACTTTGTTTTTATTTCTCTTGTTACGAAGAGCAGAAGGAAAACAACAAAAACAAGAAACAAAATTAGTAGCATATGGTCTGTAGTACAGACCCCTTGATATGGAATTATTGACGTCCGACTAAAACTTCTTAAATAGTTTCATTTCATCGTAACATAAAACTATTTATTTCCGGAAACTCTTGAAATTTTTCAATCTGGAGTGGGGCAGACTTTGTCTATTTAATTAGTTACTAAAAAACTGAAAATACCCACTTGCTACTTGGATCGTAAAAATCTGCGATTTGATCACTAAATCGATAACAAAAGGTGGCTGCAAAAATATTAGGCCGTTTGTACTACATAATCTCGTCATTTTTACAATTTTAGGGTGTAGGCCACGCCAAACTGCTCAATATTTTGGAAGGCCACATTTTTTCCTCGAATTTGTGCTCAAATTATCTTACGATTCAGGTGGAAAGCAAATGTAAGTTTGCTCTCTTTCAGATTGAAAACTCACCAATTTCGAGAATTTTCGTAAATAAAGTATTTGTAGGTTACGGTGAAATGACATTATTTACGAATTTTCAAGCGGTTTGATAAAAAGGGTTCTGTACCATGGACTAATAGGGAAACAACTATTTAGACATTTGTATTTCTCATAGTTTGTGTAATATGTAATCGCACCTTTATTCTTCTTTAGAAACTAGTAAATCCCAAATATAAACGATCACGTAGAAACGACATGAGTGAAACTTGTTTTTTTGTATATACATTATTATATCAATAATACTACAAATATTTTGTTGAAAAGCGGTCCTTTTTTTAAACACCATATTAATATTATTAAGAAATTCTATTAAACAGACACAATTGACAAAGCTTCTTACTTTACCAGGACTGTCAAGGGAAGAATTTTCTTAATAAATAATTAACTTGTCCCGCTGGAAAATATCTCTCCAGTTTAATAGTTTAGTGGGACACTGCTGTTTTTTTTTTTTTGTGCACAAGTGCCTTGTTGTAGGGTGAACATAGCTAGTTGTTAGAAACAAGCAATAATTTTTATTTTTAATTTTCAGTGTCAAGATAAACTCCCAGAAGGAGTATACTCAAAAATAATGAGCTGCTACAATTCAGATGAAGCATGGGAATTATTCCAAAACAATGGAAAGAAAACCACCTCGTTTTTTACAAAAAGTGGTTTCGTTCCATATGTTTCCTTCAACAATGTAAGTATAAATATTAGTTTAGCGAATCGATCGCTATGGGAGCTCTGTGTTCCTAAACATTGGCCAAATCAAGAGTTTATTGTTATTTCAATTTTTGTTGAAAAAATAATTTAATCATGTTTCAAATTAACATGTGAAATGTTCATATAGATACATGTAATACGAATTATTTTGAAAACTAAAGAAAAGTGATTGGGAAAAAGAAACCATGCGTAGTTAGACAGAAAATAACAGATCGATACATTTCAAATCAGTGTAAATAATTCAATAGCATATAACTTTTTCTAAGTAATTTCATTGCCTTTCGAAAAGTAGGGATTTCGGAAAACCAGAGAGATCGGTAGAAAACCACCAATCGAAAATTTCACTCGATCATTTTTCAAATGGTTATTTATAAAATTGACCATGTACTATGTATTTTAAAATTAAAAATATACTTTTAGCCGAAGGATTAACTTTAAATCCAACTGGTTAGTTCCATTAAGGTGATGCATCAATAAATAAAATATTGCCTAGTGGAGGAGTTCAAACCCTAAAAAACAAAAATGAAAGAAACAAAATCGGTTAACAAATACTTGATATCCTTATATTTTAATGGAGTAGACACCGTCTATAAGTATTATTTTCACTTCCATATCTATGAAAATGTTTCTTCTCTAAGTAGGGTAGTGGATGAAAGTTGTATGTTACGCGCACCGCACTAAATTTTTTGTGTTGCAACTACGCTGCAAAATATCCATAACTTCAATTTTATTAGATAGTCTTTTTTTCGCTTTTCTGGTCAGTTTTTTACTCCAGGATATTAAAAATACAAACCATAAACGTTATTTCTAACATTATATATCAGTCTAATTTAGTATGCAATAAAAGTTGAAAAGAAAATTTAGTCCATAAAAAATAAGAAATTAGCGATTTATTTTATTATATAGCTAGTGATATTTTTTGCATACAGAAAGCGTTGCAATGTGGGTGTCGTTATTGTAACATGTTATCAAGTGTGGGAATCTGCAAACCTTTTGGCCCGATGGCCATAGCTCAAGAACAAAAAAAAAAAAGCTTGTTCTACAAATGTCACCTCACTTGTGAAATGAGCTTTCTAAGTGAAACGTCTCTAATATAAGTGTTTGAATGATTTACTGAATTTTATATTTTTGAAATTTTAACATGTAACCAAAGAAGCATTTCTGCGCCTGAGCTTGAAACCCCTGTTGTAATAAATTAGAGTTATTTTCGACATAAATAAAAAAAAGTATCATTTTTAATTTTAACTTTCTTCCAAGTTTTCTAAATGAGCTGTCTGTTCAAATGTCTTTGTTACGAAAATCTCAGCGAACATTAATTGGTCCCAGCATCTTCAATCTATGATTTTTTTTTCCATAAGAAATAAGTAAATATTTCTAATTATTGTTTTTTTTTACTATAGAAACGAGATGATGAATTGGCCATATCTGCAGTTAGGAACTTCAGAAAGACACTCTGCAAAGCTGCCGGAGTCACTGATCCAGATTGTTTTGCATAAAACTAATTGATTCTAAATTTTTCTTCTTAATCATGCAGTCAAAAATATCTTGATAATTTATCTGACTTTATATTAAAATTTTGTACTTTAATCAATACACAAGAATTCTTCTGAATAGAACTAAATTGTGTCAATCACGAATTCTGAATGGAAAATGAAATATATGAAGAAAATTGATAACATAAATGATGATATAATTTTATTTTCCTTTTACTGAATCCATAGTATAGGCTTTGCCCAGTTTCATCTTCTTTAAGCTAACATGATTTATTAATTACATTATGATATAAAATAAAATCAATATTTTTATTTCTTAGTAATTATTCTAAATCTCTATACAGCTTACTGTATTTAATAAACTAAGCATAAGTGAATACGGCTTTCAAACCCATGTCGCATCTGTCAAGCAAGCTTGGGGTGCGATATTTAAGACCTGTCGTTACTTAATTAAGACCAGACAATTAATTCGCAATGCAACAAGCTACAATAGATTACATCTACAGACATCGAGCTACAATCATGGTTTACAAACATAGTTTGACAGATGAAAATTCACATAATATGTAAATATTAAAACATAGTAGGTAAAAGATAATCAGGATGTTGAGGCTCAACTCAATCTTGATAATTTCCTGAATTAATTTAAAATTAACCTTATATTTGTATTTTGTCATCGCCGAAGAGCCGGAAGTATTCAGTGTTGGTTGAATATTTTAAAGAATCGTAAAATTTTATTATCCTTTTGCTGAAAGAGTCATTAACATTGGATAAATTTAATAAACCACGAAGTCCATCTGATTTATCGTTTTCAAATAACGTGTTTTTAGCTATTATTTTTAAAATTCCATTTTGAAATTGCTGAAATCTCTTGTTAGTGTTTTCTGATATGTTCGACAGGGATGAATGCTATTGTAAACGAGTAATTTTAATATGAGGTTTAGGTTTAGGGTTGTGAGGAGGTGACTGAATTAGTAGGATTTTCATATAATTTTTAATAATTTAAAGCACAATAGGCAGTAAATTTCAGATATCTGTTGAATTTGATTCCTTGATAGACTAAATTGCTTGTTATTTTGTTGTATGATAAACCAACTCAAAATGTTTTAGGTAATTTTTTCTTATTTCTTTTAAACGAAAATATTAAACAATCGATTTTGTCGAATTTACTTGTACTGTATATTTAATAACTAAAATTAATTTTGTATAATATTTCGCTTGTTTCAATGTTTTTGTGGCATTCATAGTGTTACTGTACATAGCAGTATTGTCTGCATATGCCATTACATATGCCTTAGTATAATTTTTCATTATATTTCAGTAGCATAAATGTTGAATAAAGTAGAATAAAGAACCACACCTTGAGGTACTCCACATGTCCAGTGTATCGTCTCCGAGCAATACTACCAATTACAGAAATACTTCGGCCACTGAGAAACGAAAAATAGAATACAATTGTTCTGGACATTGCAAACATTTCAACTTTCTTTATAGAAATAAACTTTATTCTGGAAAAAAGTTCCCTAAGATTAACAATAATGAATAAATAAAAAAATACATATCTGGCCAAAAACTAAATTAAAAAAATTTCTAACGTTATGTATACTTATTTAAACAATAATATAAAAATAAAACCTTCTCAAGAATACTTACAATGTAATGTGAAATATATATATACTGACCCTGAAGATCTTTGACCGCAAGTGTGTCCACGTGACAAATTATTATATTTCGAAATAAATAAAAAAAAGGTAACAAAGAAATAAACAGCGTAATCCCAAAGAAAGAGCTGTTCGGTTATTTTTTTTATTTTATATTTTTTAAATATATATTTAATTTTTTGTTACTATAAACATAGTAAAAATAAATAAATAAACAACAGAAAGGTCTTATCACTTCTTAATTTGCACTTAATTACATCACAAATAATTCTTTCACATATCAGTATTAATTGTTGAGATATCATCGAAGATAACGTAATCGTGAACACTTATGAGCTGATAATACATATTTAATATACTTTTAAAGATTAGCAATTAAAAAAAAATAATAATAATAATGTATAATAATAATAATTAGACTTATGTATTTTATTCCTTATTTTGTTGATACTCATTTGATTTGTAAAATTTGTTTATTCTTTAAAATTTTTGTATTTGTTTTTGCCTAACCATATATTTTTTTTTATTAATTTATTTATTTATTATATTTTCTCTTTTTTAGTATATTTTGGTACTGTTCATTCATCTTATACTTTTATTCACTTTATTTAATTGTTTATTGTTATTTAAATATCTATTTTATATTTAATAATATCTTTGTAATATATATTAAGTACCATTTTTTAAAAATATCTTTAGCCAACACATATTGTAATAAGTTATATTTATAGTTATATACTAAATAACGATGTAATGCATATAATATGCTTTTGCAAGGTGTATGCACACTTCTAAGAAATATATGCCTCTTCTGTATGGTTACTACAGCAGAGAAAAAAAATAAATAATATATATTAATACATATATCTATATATACATATATATATATATGTATATATATATATATATATATATATATATATATATATATATATATATATATATATATGTGTATATGTATATATATATATATATATATATATATATATATATATTATATAAATATATATATATTTCGGTTGCCGCTACTGACCCTGAAGATCTTTGACCGCAAGTGTGGTCTCCTAGACCACATTCCGATTCCCGATTTCAAATACGAGGTAGGGTCATCAATCCTACGCCCGGTAGGTATGAGTTGCCTCCAGTAGCCTGACGGATCTCACATATCTGGGGGGGATCTCGGCCAGCGTGGCTTTCCTTGGTGGACGGTCACCAATCCAAGTGCTAGGCACACTCGGCGTTGCTTAATTTTGATTACCTATTGCAAGCGCCTTAGCCCGCAAGGCTTATATATATATATACATATATATATATATATATATATATATATATATATATATATATATATATATATATATATATACATATATATATATATGTATATATAGATATATGTATTAATATATATTATTTATTTTTTTTCTCTGCTGTAGTAACCATACAGAAGAGGCATATATTTCTTAGAAGTGTGCATACACCATGCAAAAGCATATTATATGCATTACATCGTTATTTAGTATATAACTATAAATATAACTTATTATAATATGTGTTGGCTAAAGATATTTTTAAAAAATGGTACTTAATATATATTACAAAGATATTATTAAATATAAAATAGATATTTAAATAACAATAAACAATTAAATAAAGTGAATAAAAGTATAAGATGAATGAACAGTACCAAAATATACTAAAAAAGAGAAAATATAATAAATAAATTAATTAATAAAAAAAAATATATGGTTAGGCAAAAACAAATACAAAAATTTTAAAGAATAAACAAATTTTACAAATCAAATGAGTATCTACAAAATAAGGAATAAAATACATAAGTCTAATTATTATTATTATTATTTTTTAATTGCTAACCTTTAAAAGTATATTAAATATGTATTATAAGCTCATAAGTGTTCACGATTACGTTATCTTCGATGATATCTCAACAATTAATACTGATATGTGAAAGAATTATTTGTGATGTAATTAAGTGCAAATTAAGAAGTGATAAGACCTTTCTGTTGTTTATTTATTTATTTTTACTATGTTTATAGTAACAAAAAATTAAATATATATTTAAAAAATATAAAATAAAAAAAATAACCGAACAGCTCTTTCTTTGGGATTACGCTGTTTATTTCTTTGTTACCTTTTTTTTATTTATTTCGAAATATAATAATTTGTCACGTGGACAATAATTATAGTGAGATGTGAACACATTTACACCATGTTGTCATTATTATTTTTTTATCTTACGTAATTAATTACGACAAAAAGATATTTCAAACATTATCTCTTCATATCGATATATGTCCATAATCCATTCCAGAGACCTATACATACTTAAGCAGAGACAATATATCTCTAGAACGGGCTCTGGAACCAATTTGAGTCCCCTCCCACATCATTTCCAATGTGTGTGTCGTTTTTAGGACACATAATATAATAGTTTATATTTTATAGAGAGAACTTGGAAGGAACTCTTTGGTATGGAGTTAGTAAAAGGAAAAAGGATGAAAAAAATGTCGTATTACGATTTCTGCCTTAATTTTTCCTCAGGTATTTAATTTTTCACCGTAAAGCTATATTTATGATGAATCCGACTTAGCTCTACTTAGAAGAATATATATATCAAAAATCTCGTCAAATACAAAGTCTGGCAAAACATACATATAACTGTATATTATGGATTGTATGATTACCGTCGCAAGGAGTTTGTTAATTCCACGAAGAACAATCTTGCCAGTTAACGACACCGGCAACTTTGCACAGTGTCATTTTGAAATCTTCAATCGAAGAGTCAGCCAGGTCGTCATCTCGTTTCTAAAATAAATAAATATTTTATTTTTATTTTTTTATTTTAAAATAAAGAATGCAACTGAATCCCTAAACATGGAGTAAAAAACTACAGTGGCCCAGAAAGGAAGAGAAAAGATGAACAACAAGACTGACCAATAGAAAAAAAAAATCTCAAGTATCCTAACTTATCTATCTATATTTAAAGTATCTATATTTAAACAATATATAAATTACAAAATTATCTAAAATAAAGCAATCAATTTTATATCAACACTTATTTAGTCCACTAACTTCTTTAATTTTACAGTCCTAGCAATAAATTCTATTAGCAGCTATTGAAGCAGAGTTATTATGTCAATATCTCTAACAGCCGTGGAAAGGATTGACATAATAAATTAAACAGGCAGCTTAACAATGCTAAATATTTTGACCTTTTTCGGCATTCAAAATTAATTTTCTACGAAATAGCACTTATTTCATTATTATAGCACTCCATGAGAAATTGAGAATACCCAGTATGTTTTTCTCCTCTTAATGAGATCGATAATATGACAACAACTACCCATACAGAAAGATAGTTCTTACAATCCACAAAAAACACGTACCTCGATAATTCATAGATTCTGACTTCACTAACATATTTCTGTATTCGATTAATTTTTTCATGCTTAAATTTAAGTGAGAGTTGCATGATCTTGATTTTTATACTTACGTTGTTGTATGAAACATATGGAACATAAGCAGGACTTGTAAAAAATGAGGTGGTTTTCTCTCCATTTATCTGGAATAATGTCCATCCTTCTTCTGAATTGTAACAGTCAATTATTTTTGAGTAGAGTCCTCCTGGGAGTTTATCTTGACACTGAAAATAATTAAGAAAAAAATTAAAATATGAAAAACATTAAAATTACATAATTTGCATCCATAATATCCTAGTCATGGTTAGTGATGAGCAATGAAACCTACTGCAGATTGGAACGGAATTTCCATCACTGTGATTAGTTCCCTAAATTAGTTCTCTTTCCTATCCATCTTCGTTCCGAACAAGAGATAGAATAACTTGGAACGAGAGAGAGAATAATCAAGGAGATGTATATATGAGACATACATACCTCACATTGCTTAGAATGCGTCTATTCGTTCCATCCATTCCTTTTTATTTCCACTCTTACAATTTAGCGTAGGAAAAAAATTACTTATTTATGACGAAGCTCCCACATTATAAATATGTAAGCAAAAAAAAATCATTTTTTTACATTTCCTTTTTTAAAAAAAATAATAATATACTTAATATGTTATAAATAATTGTTAGATAAGTAAAATAAAATAAAATACGAAATCTGAAGGTATCTTATTCCTAATAATTTGTGAAATTTATATGAAACCAATGATTTGAAATCTTTCAAGACAAGTTTCATTTGCTTATCAGAATCACATATTTATTTAGCAATCTAAAGTTGTTTAGTTTTTTTTTTCATTTATTTGAATCTTGCCATTTTAATTAATGATTTTCCAATTTTTTTGTTACAATATTAAATTGATGAACTGGGTTAAATTAAATTCACGATTTAATCAGATTACATTTACATCTAATTTTATTTTAGGTGAGAAGACTAAATTAAAAATTATAGTTAGTATTTCTTTTTATAATGGTTATAGTTCATTTCAAAATATTGCTAATCCACTTCCGTGACATTCTTAATTTCTAAAAGTCCCTTCTGAACTATTTTTTGCTCTTCTCCCATTCATTTGGACATCGAAAAGTAAAGACATTCAAGTTCTGATAATAGATTAAGTTCTGGCGGGACAAATTCGCCTATCGCCTCGTTCCGTTCCAAACGGTTCCAAGTGGGAGAAACCGTTCCAAGAAAAGAACCGTTCCGGAATGGTCTATCCCTATTCGCAATGCCATGCGTTAAATTTGGCTAATGCATGTCTATTTTATATGCGTGATAAGTACAAACCAAGTTCAGCTGGTTATAACCTCTGAAATTTATATGCAAAAACTAAAAGACCAAGAATAAAAAACGTGAAAACATTGTAACTGACTGTTTGGCCAACTAAATAGATTACTGGCAAGGAAATCTCAATGACTAATCTACAAGAAAATCCTGTTAATAAATCTGGACCTGCTATCTAGAACAGTGGAGAGCTGCGAATTTTTTAATATGGAAGGAATTTAATTCTTCCACTCCAAAGTCGTTGGAACATTTTTTTTTTAATCTCCCTACCTGGCCAAAGTCCTTGAAACAGTAGTAAAAGCTCCATTTTATGTAACTAGCAAAACTGTAGACTTTGGTTTGGTGTAGACCATGATCTTAATATCCCATTTGTCGTATACCTTATTCAGGAAAAGTCCACCAGAACCTTACATATTATCCAGTTCTATTTACTTCCTTATGTTTTTTATTAACTTATTTTATTTTTTCAATTTGTATTTCAGCTTGTATAAAAATGATTTGAATGTCCACATAGAGGTATAATACATAATGCCTCTGATAGTGGCAGATTATTATAATTCTTCCAATAAAAATAATATTGGAGGTTCCCAAAATACTAGTGGTCACTTTGACAAGAATGATCCTAAGCAATAGTAAATCCATAGTGAAGATTAATGGCCTTTCAGAGTATTCCGAGATCATGAATGGATTTAGGCAAGGTGGGTCTTTATCTTTTACTCTATTTAGAGTATGTAATAAGGCCAATCCGGATTATTTATAACAGGATGAAACAGCATCTGGCATATGTTAATGATATCGGCATATGTTAATAACGGCAAGAAATAAAACAGCATTAGCATGGGCTCTCAAAGAATTTGAAATCGTAGCAAAAGAAGTAGGTCTACAAATAAATAATATAATACTGTTTAAATATAAACTTCAAGAGAGCCGAGTGGAACAGATAACGTGTCACAAACCTTTAAGTATTTGGGTGCGGTATTTCTTAAAATAATGTAATCGTGCGAGAACTGAAAGCACGGATAGCCACTTGGATTCGAAGCTGTTTTGCCCTGCTAAAAATACTGAATGAATGATAGAACTAAGATCACTTTGCACGAGAAAGCCACTTTAATTCACAGACCCATTTTCAACTATGACTCTGAGATCTGGGTGGCTCCTTTGGCTTCAGAAATAATACTACTCGGATGGGAGAGAAGGGTTCTTCATTGGATCTAAGAATTCGCACTAATGAAGAGCTGCACGAAATCTATGCGTAGCCAGATTTGGTTCCACTTGTGAGGAGTAACCGAATCTAATGGTTATGTGTTGTGCCGGGTTTGTCCAGAGATTCAATGCCCAAACTCAGGACAAAGGAAGACCATATCTGAGATGGTTGATCGAGATGGAGGAGAGCCTAAAAAGGATGGGATTAAGCAGATGGCGAATGCTCGCCCGGGTTAGAGAAGAGAGGGGGAAGATTATAAGAGAGACCCCAGGTTCTTGCAGAACCGTAGCGCCAAAAATAAATAAATAACAATAACCTCCTGAATGGAGAGACTTAGCTATGACCTCTGCACTCCAAAGGGAAGCATTATTTTATAATATACAATTTTTCTCTTGGCTAGATTAGATAAGTAATAGTTCAATTGTATTTCATATTGATATTTAACTGAACATGTAACCAAATGATTAGAGAAACAAGTTTTTATTTTAGGAGCTTTAATCACATTAAATTTTAAATACTTGAATGATTAATATTCCACTTCAACTTCACTGATTTATTTTATGCTCTTTTACTACATTTTCTCGTTCCGCAAGAAATAGATAATATGCTTCCAATATTTATTTATTTTAAATTAGCATTATTTTGCTATACTTACTTTGTCAATAGGGTACACCGAAGATTCAAATGCCAAATATTCAGATTCCAGATTGTCTAAGCATGAAATATATTCTAAAGTTGTAAGTTGATCAGGGATATATTTGATGGCACAAGAATGAAGCCTGTTCCCCTCGCATTCGGATTGACCGTGCTGGCATTGATATTCATGGCTTGTTGCGTTCTTCTAAAAACTCAAAGATATGTTTAATGGTACGAATCTCAAAAATCAAACTGGAAAAGTTCAATATGAAGATTATGATACGTCTATATTATTCCTTTAATTATACAGGTTGTACCACAATGAATGGAGGTCTTTTTTATTCAGGACACAGAAAAGCTGCCCATGAATTCAATTATATATTTTTTTTAGAAAATCATTTTTTTTACTAAATGGAGGACGATTAAAAAAAATCTATTTTATTTAAGTAATTATCAATTAAATAAATATATATTACACAGGCTGTACAACTTTTTTTTTTAAATCAAGTCCAATTTGTCTTTTTAAAACAAATTGAAAGGTTTCTTTGAGCTGATAAATTCCGGTTAATTAAGAATTATTAGCGATTTCTTTTTTTTTTTTTTTTTTTTGTTAGCTTTCCATCTGGACACATTGTCATAAAAACTTTGTTGTGTAATAAGCTTTAAGTTGTTATAGATTAAGTTGAAGTTAATATAAGTGTAATTGAGTATAAGAATTCAAAATTACCAGAATGTGCACTTGCTATTAAATTATAGCCCTGATGATGACCCACATATTTGGGTCAATACGTCGGCTCAACATAATTATTTTAGAGAATGAGTTGGTTGGCAATGCGGTCAATATATAATACTATATATTATTATAGTAGGGGGATGGGGTAGCCGTATGGGCTAAGGCGCTTGCAATACGTAATCAAAGTTAAGCAACGCCGAGCGTGGTTAGTAGTTGGATGGATGATCGCCTGATTTGGGTGACCACCAAGAAAAACCATGCTGCCCCAGTCTCTCTTCTCCCCCAGAGTATGTGAGCCCCATCAGCCTACTGGAGGCAGCTTACACTGACCGGACTGATGACCCTACCCGGTGTACTTAAATCGGGAATCGGGATGTGGCTAACCAGGATGTTAGTAACCCCCCTGAGGTTCGGTCCATGGACGGTCTGTGAGCAGCCACAATCCATGGATCTAGACCGAGCTACAAAACATAAAATTATTTATATGACGAAATGAATCACCTATTTCTTATTATATGAAGTAAGCTTTCGTTCAATATTTATTGTATGCTTAAGGCAAAGGTGTAATGATCTTAATAACGTTTTAAGTTTGTTTTTATGAATATGAAGAGGCTAAGATTAAGATACAAAGTTCAAAACAGCACATTCTAATTAAATTGTACTTACGGGCTTTTACAGTGTGGGTGTCGATTTAGTGTTATGTATTGTATGGTACCTTACCCCCGACCAACTTCTTCTCAAATCAAAATCACGGTCAACTATCTTCACACCATTATAATTTTTTTTATCCTTACAAATTCAACAGTCAACAATATATCTATTTCTAAATTAATTAAATTTAAATAAGTTGAGGAATAAATTGAGCTTCACTTCCAATTTTCTTATAAAAAAAAAATATTTAACATTCTGTTAGCTACAAGAACAAGGATTTTCAGTGAAAAATGATTACAATAAATTTATTATGTGAGCTGGATTGTATTGAAATAAATTAATTACTAAAATTAACTTTTTATTTATGAAACGTTTGTATAAAAATGCTGTTTTATTAATCTCCACTAGTTCGGAATCGTGGATCCCTGGGGACTATGGAGGTGCTGCAAGTCCCACAGAGCATGTTTGCTAGTGTTGTCCAAATGCGAGACCGACTAGAGTCTTGGTCTTGCAAACTCAGCCTTGGTCATCGTCTTGGTCTCGCGCAAGAATCTCGCAACAGTCGTGCAGTTCTTTTTTAGCTTATTACAGTAGAGATATTATTGTATTTATTTAGATAGGAGGAACTTAACTTAGTCCGAATGAAAAATCAGAGAAGTTAAATGCAAAAGTATATAGGTTATACAAATTCTTTACACATAGTAACTAAGATTGTCAAGTATTAGTAACTATTTTGTTCTAATGTTTATTTTAAAAATCGATTATTTCTTTTACCAGTCCTGGTCTTGATCTTGTAACAGTTAGGCGGCCTTGGTCTTGGTCTTACAACAGTTAGGTGGCCCTGGTCTTGGTCTTGCAAAGTGCGAGACCAACACCGATTTTGGGCAACACTAATGCTAGCTCCAAAGATCTTAGAAGGTGTGGACTTTTCCATGTTTTAATAATTCTAAACATTTTTGGCTTGTTCCTATGTTCTTAAGGTAGGCCATATAGTTTTTATCAACATCTGTTCAACCTTCGCGTCCCCAACATCTACAAACCACATCTGACGTGTGGGACTTTGGTGCTTTGTGGAGTTTGTCTGGCCCCTTCGGTTCTGGAGGTTCTAACAACAAATACTTAGTAAATCCAAATAAACCAACGAGCGTTGATGACCTGAATTTCACGCTCTTAATAAGCGAAGACAGACAACGCTGCTTTTTTAAAAGTTACTATTCGAAAAGAGAAAATCTGCTTAATTTATTAATGTAAATAATTATTTTTTAGTTATTGGTTCGACAATTCATAATTACTTGAGTAAAATAGATTTTTAGATATCACCTCCTATACAATGATAAACATGACTTTCTCAGGAAGTCTATGTTCGATTGATTCTGGTACACCGTGCATTAAACGAGTTTTTTTATGTCACAATAATCCAGCCTTTTCTCATGATTGTGTATTGTAATTAATACTTACAACTTTTACCCAACCGTAGGGGACCAATGTGAGTTTGGAAATTAAAGAGGTGTAATCGAACTTGGTGTCGGTATAGGCCGGCAACAATTGGCTTGGGACGAAAAGTCGACAGCTAGGGCACATTGTCTCGTAGTACAGAGTCACCTCAACCTGAAAATAAAGTTAATTTTTCTTCATTTTAGTTGTTTATTAAAATTAGCATTGTTTTGTATCTGTATACATCAAAACTCAAATGTAATATCCTCCTAAGATTATTGATCAAATGTTATAATTAAATCAAGATCTTACTAAAATAACCTTAATGAAGTAAGAATAAAACAATAATGTTCTCTTGACATTTTATTTTGTTAACTTCTTTCCAAAGATCCATTACAATAAAGATTATTATAACTTTAAACTTGAATAACTTCAATTTTAGAACTTATCTTTGTTCTTGAATAGTTTATTATTTTGAAAACTTACTGGTGTCACATTTTCGCTGGAAGGCCTAGCCAATACACAACCGATGGAGACAGCTAATAAAAAGAGTACAGCCATAGTTGAAGAAACAGTAACTATGTGCGTTAAAACTCGTTATATATAACGGTTAATAATGGAAGGGGAAACAACAAATTCGTTGAGTGGACGATATCAAGCTTTTTAAATATTAAGCAATTTAATTTCTGATTAGCTATGCGCTAACTTGGTTATTTGAAACTGAGATAACAAACTGTGTAAGATCTGAAGAAATCCCTCAGCATAATCTACCCGCCCGTAAGAATCGAAGAGCAGGTAAGTATCGCAACCGAGTAATAAAGAAGAGGACTGATTAGGAAGGTCTAAGAAATAACCAATTCCTTCCCAATCTACTTTGTTTGAAAATATAAAAAAGACATATTTACATCGGCTTGGATTTGCGTCCTCAACTATTTCTTCATCACGGTCTACTGAATCAACCTTCATCAGTTGTCCTAATCCTGTGCAACAACTCGAAAAGCCAGTTTCGAAAGTCAAGTTCCTTGGATGTAATTATCGGTATGCATCGTTTCCATATGTTTTTAATACATTAAAATAGTAATTCGGACGAACATTTTTTCATCTTCGGATTGCCATTCTTGCCAGGATATCGTCCACCTCGTCCAGCCATAGGTTAATAGTTATTAGCATTAATATATTTTTGGGGCTACGGTCCTGCAAGAATCTGGACCTCTCTTATTATCTTCCTCCACTCTCCTTTATTCTGGGCGAACATTCGCCATTTTCGGATTTTCATCCTTTAAGAAATGTCCTCCACCTCGTCCAGTCATCCCAGACATCGTCTTCCTCTGGTAAGTCTTCCACCAAGTCGATCTTCCAACAAGTGTTCGGGAAAAGAGTCTCTGAGAGTATGCGCAATGTAGTCCAACCAATTGATTTCGTTAACCCTCTCGATTGAGACCAAATACTTTCTGGTATAGATCTCGCCCATCTTCTCATTGGTGCGATTTCTCCGCTCCCCATGTTCACACACCGGAACATAGATCCAGCAGAGAACCCTTTTCTCGCTTTAGAAAGGATGCGAATAGTTTCCTTTCTGAAGCCTTAGAAATCATTCAAGTTTCAGAACCGTTAGTGATGATGAGTGGTATGATTTTCTTATACATGGTGTTCTATGAGAGAGGATTTCGCACCATAAAATAGCATCTATTATCAGCAGCCATCCTTGCTTTCAGTTCTTTCACGATTTCATTATTTTCAGTAAGTTTCGACTGCTTTCAGAATGTGGTTTCCTGTTGTTCTCCAAAATTCTTCACTCCCTTTGCATCTGTAGTATTCACAACATAACATCTGTTACTATATCCACAAATTCTTTATAATCTTACATCACTGTTTTTGAGCTCTGTGACCTATGCTAAAGCAGTGTCGCACCGAGCTGTTTGGGAGTGATTGATAGATATTTAATTGATCGTAATCACATTGTAGAGCAATTCTATATATCGAAAAAAAAATCACCAAAGAGTGGAAATGTAAATATCGAAATATCAGTAAGAATTATTAATATTTAGTATCTTGATGATTTTAATTTTTATAAACATAGAGAGACGGTTTACATTGAAATATTAGATTTGTAAATATTATTACGTCATTTATCACTAAAGTATAAATTTATTAATATTTGACAATGAAAAATTCAGAGTTCGACAGCGATTTTGTAACTATTTTAGCAATAACTCATTCAGCACTTATTGTAAGTTGGAATTCCCATTTTGTTTTTATCCCTAAACCTGCAGTAATTCTCACGAAATATTCACAAATATATATGTATATGTTTATACATATACATAGTTGTATGTACATGTTTACATACATACATGAAATATTTGTCTATATACAACATATATTTGAAAATTTCATGAGCACTTTTATTTTAATAGTTTCTGTGAAACATTTTAGGAAAAAAAGTTCTAAGAGACTCTTTTTTTTAAACAAAGTTCTAAGTTTATCTTAAAAGTTAAACATTTATTTCTTTAAGTTCTTGAAAAGTTACATCAAATAAGATATAAACAGTGATTCGGATTAGATTATAGTTCATTATCTATTTTTAATGCAGTACTTAGTTGTAATGTGTCCTCTGTTTGAGTAGCTAAGAATAAAACCCTTTTTTTAGATCCACCTTTTGGCAAACTCAACAAAACTGTTAAATAAAAGTTTTTAAGAATAAAAATTCTTCAAAACCTTTAAGTGAAAAGTTTTAAGAGAAAATATTCCAGTTCTGAGATAATAACAGAAAAAATATGCGACTTCCAGTTACCCCTCAAAGTACTCTTTCCAAAATTTATTTTTCAACTATGGAAAAATAATCCACAGTTAAGCTTTTGCTGACAAGGCAGTAAACCTGGTTCATATAATTTCAATGTTTTTCACAGCTCACAGTTGTCAATTTCATTGACGAATGTAAGCTGGTACGTATTCGGAATTACGTAATTTCGGCCTCGAGAATGTCTCAAGAATTAATACTGATAAATAAGATATGAAAGAATCAATTAAATATACAGATTGTAATGAAGTGCAAATTAAGAAGTGATAAGACCGTCCAATTGTTTATTTATTCATTTTTCTCTAAATATCAAACAAAATAATTAAATAAAGTATTTACTTATTATTATTATCTAGAGCCATCGCCTGGGATCGAAAAAATATACGATGTGAATAGAATTTTCTACACCAGCGTAAAGGTCGAAAAACCGTACCCAAAAAGAGAGTTCATCCAGTGCCATAATTGCCAAGCATATGGCCACACCAAGTCTTATTGCCACCACTTACCACGCTGCGTGAAATGTGGTAAAACACACAAGTCTGGCGAGTGTAATAAACCAATTACAGAACCAGCAGTCTGTGCCCTATGCCTGGAAGGCCATCCAGCCAACTACAAAGGCTGCCAAATTAATAAAAATCTTAAAGCGAGATATATGAAACCCAGGGACCCTTATGATACACCTAAACCAAGAAGAGGACCCGCTAAAATTGTGAACTCTAAGGTTTCTTTTGCCAAGCTACTTGGGGGTAGAGACCCGACTAATGTATGTGAGGCCCTGCCGCAAGAACAAACTCAACCCCAATCTCAATATCCTATCCCACCTAATGTACCTAATCAACAACAACCTCACCAACATCAAATCCAATATGTTTCTCCACCGCCTAATGCTACAGATCTAACCAGCTTATTGACATCCTTTCTTTCAGAATTTAAATCCCTTGTTACCCCACTGATATCACTTCTCACTAACCTAGTATCTCACCTTATCCCTCCTTTAAAAAATCCTTAAATGACTTCCATCAAACCCATATCCATTCTCCTTTGGAATGCGAATGGTGTTAGAAATCACATACACGAACTAACAGCCTTACTACAAGACAAGAACGTAGACGTAGCCCTAATAACGGAAACTCGACTGACTAAAAAACAGCTCCTAAAAATACCACAATACATAACTTACCGTACCGACCATCCTGACGGTAGAGCACATGCCGGTACTGCAGTCATTGTGCACCAATCCCTCTCCCATCACCTACTCCCACTGCCTACACACGATTTCCTACAATCCACCGCAGTCGTAATCAAAACCTTCTCCTTTCCTATTACCGTTGCATCAGCGTATTGCCCTCCAAACCAATCCATCTCCAATATCCAATTTAGTTCCTTCCTCATTTCCTTAGGACATCATTTCATCTTGGGTGCAGACTTAAACGCCAAACATCAACAATGGGGTTCAAGAACCACGAATTCTCGTGGTCGAACATTGCTGTCTGTACTCAATTCCCAAAATTTTACCCTTCTTCCACCCAACTCACCTACCTACTGGCCCACTGATCCTAACCGTAATCCCGATATCCTCGATTTCTTTATCCATAATGGTTTAGGTGCTCTCAACCATTCCGTTGCCCGTCTTGACGAGCTTTCCTCAGACCACAGCCCATTAATACTCCAAGTATCACTAGCTCCTATTCCTAAACCCTCTCCTCCGTCCTTCATCAGAGGCCCAGTTAACTGGAAACTCTTTCATCAAATCCTCTCCGATAAAATTGACCTCAGAGTAACCCTGAAAACCTCTGAAGACCTGGACAATGCAGTACATTCCTTCACTACCAAAATTCAAGAAGCAGTCTGGACTGCTTCCTCCCTGATCACTCCTCAAAAATCCTTAAGAAACATAATTTACCTCAACACCTCCTTGACCTAATCCACATAAAACGCCGTGCCAGATTATTATGGCAACGTACCAGACATCCAGCCGACCGCCACTCCTACAATTATCACTGTAAAAAATTAAAAAAAGAATTAGCCACCTTCAGATCCCAATCATTCAATTCCTACCTCACCACACTCTCTGCTCATGATAATTCCCTTTGGAATATCACCAGAAAAATCCTCAAATCCCATCATATTTCCCACCCTCTTCGACGAGATGATGGCTCCTGGGCAGCATCTGATGAAGATAAAGCCGAGGAATTTGCCAAACACCTTTCCTATACTTTCGCTCCTCATCCAGAATCCCATCCCAGCCACACAGTAAAAGTAGAAGAATCCCTCTCAATACCTATCCCACTCTCCTTACCACCTAAAGCTGTTAATCCCTCTGAGGTCAAATACCTTTTACGGAAAATCACACCTCGCAAATCTCCTGGATATGACCTTCTAACCCCACAGATCCTTCGACAACTTCCATCTAAAGCCATCACATTTCTTACATATATATACAATTGCATCCTACGAACTACCCACTTCCCTCTTTTATGGAAACATTCCACCATCGTCCTCTTCTTGAAACCAGGCAAACCTTCCAACAATACAGCATCCTATAGACCAATTAGCCTACTCCCAATCCTCTCAAAAAATTTTGAAAAGATCCTACTGAAACGAATCCTACCTATAATTGAATCCTATAACCTTCCTACTCATCAATTCGGATTTCGTTCCCAACATTCCACTGTCCAGCAAGGACTCCGAGTTGTTGACCATATATCCTCAACCCTAGAAAGCAAGCAGTATTGCTCGGGTGCATTTCTGGACATAGCGCAAGCTTTTGACCGGGTATGGCACGCCGGATTACTCTTCAAGCTT